AAACTTGTGTAAAAAAAACATTTTGCTACCATATTTTTACAGTTAGTTTCTGGCAACGATAGCATTTTTTTACCTAAATTTATTTTGTTTAGTGATATTTTTATACTTGTGTGAGTGGCTGGGCTGATTTCGAACCCTCTCCACAAATAATACAAATAATGCTAATTGACGACTTTGATTTCCAAAGAGTTTGGCATTATCACCAAAAATACTGGGTAAAATAGTCCACAGTTATCGTTAATTTTAATTAGTCAGTGATTGATATTTTTCCCTCCTCACCCACCATCTTGAATTCATTTTTTTTTATAGAGCTTGGAGGTAACAGTGTCTTAAAATGCAGCCTACGTAGGCAGTTAAACGAGAACGGAACGATGTGTTTTTCAGATTCAGGCACACTATGATGATCCTGAATTCACGATGTGCGAGGGGGGACCCGTAGTTTGAATTGAATACAAGGAAAACGAAATTCCTCCTTTTATATTCATTTTACTGTTTGTATGTTTTTAAGATCCCAGAGTAATAACAATTGCAGTTTTTAAATTAACCTCTGAATTACTCTTCAGTGTTTTTTTAATGCTGCTCAGGTCAAGTGAAAACCCAGTAGGCAGATATTATTGTAGCTTTAACTTGGTAGCTGTTGCATCCAGACTGTTTTTCCAGACTGACTCCAGATGTGACTGTTATTCATTATAGTTACAGCGTTTTTGTTTTGGGTCAATTTTAAAAATATAATGAAATTTGATATATTAGAAAAATGCAATTAAACAAACCTTAATAGACAATTGTATGTACAATAATCAGAAAACAAAATGTGAACGTTAATTGCATTTAATCATGTTTTTATAACTTGGGACCCTAAACGGAACAAATGCACTTTTTCCATGCTTGAATTAATTTTCAACCTCACTCTTTATTGTTCTGGGTGTATTGAAAGAACCTAACATACAAGGAAGGTTAATAAAAAACATTTTTGATAACAACTGCAAACTGTTTATTTGTATTACAAATGCTTTATTTAAAGTTTGCTATTGAACAGCCAAGTGACACGATATGAATGGGCACTAACATTAGTAAGCCAGGAAAAACATTGGAAAAACATACCTGTGGCATTGATTTCAGCAAAATGATTACATTGATTCTTGCACTTTTTGTGAAACATTCAAAGTCAGCCAAGAGGTGCTAAAAATGGGTTGAGTTTGATCTGCAACAAATGTGAATCTGTCAATGTTTTATTATACTGTTCCTTAAATTGATTAAAAACTTGGTGGCACTAAAAGGTTACCAAATCATTTACACCCACAGTACACTAAACCCTATATTCTAAACTTAAATGATAGTGTTAAAGGGTTAGTTCACCCACAAATGAAAATTAGCCCACAAATTACTCACCCTCAAGTCATCCTAGGTGTATATAACTTTCTTCTTTCAGACGAATCCAGTCAGAGTTATATTAAAAATAGTCTTTGATCTTTCAAGCTGTTTCATGCCACTCAGCGGGTGTTGCATGCATCAGTCCAAAAGCAGTTAAATAAAAAGCGCCCATCCATAAAAAATTCCTCACACGGCTCCGGGGGGTGAACAAAGGCCTCCTGTAGTGAATCGATGTGTTTTTGTAAGAAAAATATCCATATTCAAAACGTATCACTTTAATGTAGCTTGCGCCAGCAGTCCTACACGGAAGCAGCTCCGGGCGGATGACGCATGAGGTCAGCTTTGCGTGAGTATTTTGTGGGCTAATTTTCATTTTTGGGTGAACTAACCCTTTAACAAAAGCACACGAGAGATAAAAATGCATTTGCTCAAGAAACCAAGTCATTTCAGGTTGGTTCTATTAGTGTTTTAGCTCTTTTATTATGAATTGTTTCACAAGTCTTTTACCTGAGTGCGACACATGGCAAATGCAATGCTGTACCAGGTGCGCTACCGAGCAAGTTTACTACATCAAAAAAGCCATATAAATGGAGCTGGTTATGTGATTCAAACATCAAAATGTATTTACTTTACATGTCATGCACTACGGTAAAAGTATTTTGAGGTCATAACATATATATTGTGCAAGGAACTGGACAAAAAGTCTTTATTAACTGATAATTTGCTCCTACGATTTGTGTGAAAAGCAATAAAAGTTGGCATTTCACTGACACTAGTGTCCATTTCAGCTGGAAACTGCAACATTTTTTGCAAAAATGTAGGTACAGACACTTTTTTGAACATTAGTCTGAATAGGACTTACGAACTGAACATTTTGTCTGACACTTTTATTAAAATCTGTTAAGTCAGGGTTTTGATCAGCAACATAATTTCTGGTCTGTCACCTTCAGCAAATCTACACTTATCACTGAAAATGCATGTTGACGTCAGAGGGTCTTTGAGGCAATGTTTTTCCTAATGAATTGGGAAATTATTTCTGTAGTGGAATTAACATATATTAATCTGGGAGCATTTACACAAGTCAGTCTCTCATCAGTTTAATTTTTCATATCACAACTCTTGGCCGAACCATATCACCGGTCTATCATGTTGTTTTGACTTTCAAAACAAGACTTCATTTGTTCCCGTAATGTTTTCATGTCTCTGTGGCTCCTTCCAAATTTATGGACATTTCTTGACCCCACATGATGTCATTGTTGAGGCCTTGTATCACCTTTTAGTTTATTTCTCCATCATTTCACTTTATTCGTGTACATTCCACATCCTCTGTCACTCTCAAGGAGGAAGTCCTAATGTCGTCTTCCGCTATCTTGCCAACGATCACCCTCGTTAGCGAGCGCCAGTTAGCGAGTTTGACGGCTCTGAAGCACTTCACGGCATTGTTCCTAACGCTCACAAAACACAGAGTGTTAATGACCCCGTTGCTCATAGCGATGCACTCGATGATGTAGAAAACGACCAGCGAGTTACGGCCGCGTGTGATCAGTGCCGGGTAGAAATCGCGCAGCAGCGTGAAACTATAATATGGCGCCCAGCACATCACGTACGCCGCCAGAACCGCGATCAGCGCCACCACCGTCCTGCGCCGCCGTCGTAGACGTTTACGCAGCTGCTCCGTCGGAAATCCCGGGACGTTCTTGAACCACAGCTCCCTGGAGATCCGTGCGTAACAGACTGACATGGTGACCACGGGCCCCAGGAACTCCACGATGAAGATGAAGAGGAAGTAGGAGCGATACATGAGCTGCTGGTCTGCAGACCAGATCTGGGCGCAGAAGATCTTTTTGTCGTGGCCCAGTGCGCTGTGCGGGTATTCGTGCTCTGTAGCGAAGTAGGCCGACGGAACCGCGATGAGGACTGGGATTATCCAAACTCCGAAAATAATCCAGTACGCTGTCTGATACTTCATACGGGGCTTCAGGGGATGAACGATAGCCATGTACCTGTTGAACATAGAAAACGATGAAAACTGCAGTTGCATATAATTGTTGTATAAAAAAAAAAAACAGCCGAGTTGATTGTCACAAAATAAATAAAATGTACCCCTCAGTACAAAACTAATTTAAAGTCTGCATGAATTCAAAATTTACAATATTTATTTTGTTAGCGCATATTGGTGAACAATTAATCTGTGAGTTAATCCACTGAAATATATATTTTTTTGTCTTGGTAATCTTTAATCAAAATCTGATTATTTGCTTCTGCTCTGGAATGGGATTCCTTCTCTGATGTCAGTTTGAAGGCTATAGCAAAATATCCTTAACCATGCCCCTCCAACCGTTAAATTGCTGCGAGTTACACTGTGTTTACACCGCTGCAACCGCAAAAGTCTGTCTACACTGGACATGACAAAGCGACCCTTGCAAATCATTTGATCTTGGTTTCAGTACATCATAAATAGAACGAGGCAGCAGTTTACTTCGAAGGGTTGAAGGGTGTAGGGGACCAAACAAGTGTTTCTTGAAGTGCCCTTCTGCGTTATCATCACGTGCCCACACGGAGACGCCGTCATCATGCAAAGAACCTGCGCAAAGGATCATGGGAGCCCGAAGTGTCCATTCCGAAGGGCCCTTTGAAGTGGCTAATTTTGAGCACTTCGGTTTGGAACGACCCTTCAGTATGGCGGCCATGATTGTTTTCACTCCGAAGTGCCCTTCGGAGGGCGATATATCCCATTTGGAATGCACCGAAAGTCGGCAGCAACTTCCACTTCACGCAGACTTTAAAGGGAAACATGCTGCCTCATAAGATTAAAAATTAAAATAAATAAAACAAGGTAAATTTACTTGAAAAGCAACGTTACACACTGTACCAAGACAGATGTGTTTTGTGTTACTGCAGTGGGAAAAAAATCCTCACTTTAAAAAAAAAAATTTGTTTATAGTATGGGTGTATTTCGTCTTGCAGCAAGATGAAATCCACTCATATGTCTGCAAACAACTGTTTATATTTTATGCAGTGTGGCTTCTCAGGTAAATGTATTTTGTTATTTATTATATATATATTTTTAATATATATATGTTTTAGTGTTTTAAACGGTGTGTTTTTATTTCTTATGGCATCTGCTTGTATTGCAAGTGGAACAGATTACAATTGAATTCAATTACATTTAAATTGAAGTTCATTAAAAGGAACTGACATTCAGATATTTTTGATGACTTCAATAAGTCTACTTTTTAGCTAGAAAAGGAGTGTTCATCCAAACAAAATTTTGACTGATTTCTTGACAATGATTTGTCTGAAAGTTTAAGAAGTTTTGATATTATGGTAATCTATTTATAATTTATTTATCATAATTTATCGTCAAACATCCCTAATATATCGTTACATCCCTAATATATATATATGTATATATATATATATATATATACAAGGGCTGTCAGTTTAATGCATTAACTTAATTAGTTAAGAAAAAACAACGCAATAAAAAAAAGTATATATAATTTTTTATTTTATTTTATATTATATATATATAAAACGCACTGGCCTGCCCCCGCTGATTTTGTCCCGAATATCATGAGTTTAGATGTGATTTTATACAACAGTTTAGTAAATAAGAAGTTGATATTGTTATATTTAAACACAATATTATGTGTTTTTGCTCAGTTTTGCAGAGAACATATTACATTTAAAGCCATAGCAGAATTGTTGCGCATCTCCGAGCAACACAGTAGTGTTTAGTTTCTCAGTGACCCACGTTTTGAACGAATTGTGTGAATCATTGATTCAAAGGCCATTCATAAACATAGCCATTAAGTTCATTCCTGAATGATTCAGCCATTTGAACGAATCGAATGAATGAATGAATGACTCATAAAGACATTGAATTGCAATGCAGTAAATTCCACTTCCTTGAATTCCAATTCAAACTTCCTGTAGCCAATTCTTAAATTCTGAGTTGTAGCATTTGGACTGGGTCTGGATTTGAATCTGCTTTAGGAAACTGTGAGCATTTGGAATGGATCTACTGTTTCGTGTGGGGGCGGTTTGTCGTAGATTTGTATTGGTATTTATCAAACATCTCAAAGCTCATATCCTCGGAACAGTCCAGAAGTAGAAAATGAATCAGGATTATGGGTCTGGCAGCAGTCTATTAACACACACTGACTCTCTGATCTCTGTCTGATCTGATCACTGCTCCCCGTTCTTAATGAGATATTTCATAACCTTTTGACATTCATGGAGAATAACAGGCTCCTCCATCACTTGTTCTCTAAATGAAAAGTACAGCACTATTTCTACCCATTTAAACTCTGTCCATTTTTATTAACAGCATATTTTTGCCCGGGGCTCTTTCTGTTCTCTCTCATGGTCTGAAATCCGTCAAACTGATGGTAATAATTCTAACTCGCTGATGGTAATAATTCTAAATGTATTACTGGTAAATATGAACTTAATTTAATAATTTATCAACATATGTTACTTGGAATTCCGATGTTCCAAAGAATTCTGTTCTTCCCAAAAGAAAACTCTGCAATCTTTTCTGGCTCAATAGGGAACGTTCTAGATCAGCAGGAGTGAACAGAATGTACTTTTGCCCCAAATACATGCGGTTACTGTGATGCATGGGAAGACCGAAGAGTTGTTTTTTTACTTTAAAAAAGTTACTTTTGATATGCATCGTATGTGCTGCTTGGCGGTTCATGGGAAACAGCATGCCAGGAGTAACAGGTTGGACGATTTCATGAATGGCATTGTAAGATAAGAGCGGCTCTGTTTCAAAACCTAGTCAGCTACCTAAGTAGGGAGCATTTTAAGGCATCATATACTCTTAAAAGTAAAGGTTTCTAAAGGGAGTTTTGCAGTGAGGCCCCCAAAGAACCTTTCAATAAACAGAACCATTTTTTTCTTAGTGCAAAGAACATTTGAACAATCTAAAGAACTTTTTTCACTAAAGAAATGGAAATTTTCCATGGATGTTAAAGGTTCTTCATGGAACCATCAATGGCAATAAAGAAACTTTATTTTTAAGAGTGTAGAAGTCCACAATTATTTTGGACAAATGCTGCATTATATGGCAAACCTAATCCCATAATGCACTGCAATGAGCTCAGTACAAAAAAAGTATCCATAAATACAAATATGATGAAAAAATGTGAAATAGTTCAGTCTATTTTAGTACTATTTTAGCTAATATTTGCACACAGTTGGTTTTTATGCTTATCAGAATATAATTTGTTAGCTTAGTTATATGCTAATATGAAAATCTGTAGCAATAAATGAAACTTCCAAGGCTTAACTTCAGGTAGGATGCTGTCTTAGAATGTATTTGCGATAGTAGACAGCAAGTAAGCAGTTCATTAGGTTTTATTTTATTTTTAAAGTGAACATCTGTGAAATTATTTGCTCAAATGTGCTTGAGAATCGATTAAGAAGAACCAAACTGGAGCAAGGACTGACTAATGGGTTCACCTTAAGATCTTTAGAGGCGCTGAGACTATTGGATGTACTGTGCCAGATGCTAATTTTATGACATGCTAGCGGACCCGTCAGCTGATATCTAAGGCTGTTGCTGAAGGCTAAATACAGCATGTTCTCCTTGGCCATTCAAATATTGACATGCTAATTAGCTAGCTTAGCCTCAGGGATTGGCCAAACATGATGCAAGCGCCGTGCAATTCGTCACATGCAGGTACAGCGGCACCACAGAAAGCACCTAATCCAAATTTTAGTGTCTCCTAAATCTGAAATGAAGTCTCTAATCCTGCCTTCATGTGCTAGAAGTTCCTACTTGTAAGATTGGAAGTCGTAAATATGATTTTGTGCATGTGTAAGTGATTTTGGGTTTTTAAAAAAATGCACAACCTGAGCAGTTTCTCTTTTCACGTCGCACTTTCCATTAATACGGTAAACTTACAGAGCAAAGCCACTATTCAACATAAAATTAACTCAACTAGACAACCCTGTTACCAAAGTTAAGGGTAATTTTTAAAGTAATCTATGGGAAATGTAAGTTAAAAACTGCATAACATGTGATAGCTGTATGACAGCGCAATTTAGGCAAAAAATAATATTATATAAAAATTAAATAATATTAATATAATGCACACTATCATTCAGAAGTTTGAGGTTAGATTTTCTAATGCTTCTGAAAGAAGTCTTTTATGCTGCATTTTTATGTTCAAATATACAGTAAAAGCAGCAGTAATATTGTGAAATATTATTACAATTATTAGTTTCCTTATGTTTTTAAATGTAATTTATTCCTGTGATCAAAGCTGTATTTTCAGCATCATTACTCCAGTCTTCAGTGTCACATGTTCCTTCAGAAATCATTCTAATATACTGATTTGCTGCTCAAGAAACATTTCTTATTATTATCAATGTTGAAAACAGTTGTGCTGCTAAATATTTTTGTGGAAACTGAAACTGAGATAATTCTTTGAATAATAGGGAATTCATTTTTACTGTCAATTTCATGCATTCTTTCTGAATTGAATTTCTTTCAAAATTAAATAAAACAAGACTAAGATTTCCAACCCTATTTGTACCCTATTCATAGAAAGTGACACTTTCTCATAAAGGCAGGAACCTTTTAAAACTTAATGCACTTCATTAGTTCTTAATTTTGTTGCTTTAGATGTGTAATGATGCCTTTTCTGTGTATTTTGGCCTTCTTATGCAGCTGCAACAAATGGAGATTTTGTCCCACAAGCTTGTTTCCTTGTGACCAAAACCAGTTTACCATGATTATTTAATAGACACATCCCGACCATACAACATTTAACACTATGCTGCATGAGCTCAGAGAAGCAAATGCTCACCTATCCACCGCGATGGCTAGCAGGGCATTGGTGGACACGTAGAGAGACACAGTCCTAAGGTAGTTAATGGAGATGCAAAGCACAATCCCATGATCCCATGACAGCTGCTTGACCACGTAATAATCCACCAGAAAGGGACAGCACACAGTGGCCACCAGGAAGTCTGATATTGCCAAGTTGGCGATGAGTAAATTGGTGAGATTCCTTAGTTTTTTGTAGCGTGCCAATGAGGCTATAAAGAGGCAATTCCCAACACCGCACACCAGCATGATGCAGACCAGGACCACCGCGATAACGATTGTAGCCACAAAGAACGCTCGTCCCTGAGTCGTGTCTGGGATCTCGTCCACCGGAACCTCGTAATCCAGAGGGATGTCGTAATTGGGCATGAGGTCATGTGGGCTCCCCGATGGGTGGATGAGAGCCCATGTCCCGGAGGAGGTGCTCCTGTTGTCTTCTCCCATCTCCACTTTTTACTGGTCTGTCAGAGCACCAGGATCGTTCATACTCTTGTTTGAACACATAATTTGTTTCTGGCTGCAAAATTAAGAAAACAAGTTTCCTTAACATACTTTTAAAGGACATTCATTGTTGCACTGGTGTTATAGTACACTCTTAAAAATCAATATTTGCATCGATGATTCCGTTAAGAACCTCCAATGGAATGTTTTCACTCCAAAAAAAAGGTTCTTTATATTGTTAAAATATTCTTTAGACTAAGAAAAACATTTCTTTTACTGAACGTTTTTTTGAGGAAACCCAAAATGGTTCTTCGTTGGCAATATTTCAGTGAAGTTTGGCAGTTTAAAACACTCTTCTAGACAACAAGAGCTCAGTCATTCTGGCTAACATCTCATTTTGGTGCTTCATGGAAGAAAGAAAATTATATGGCATCGGGTTGATATGAGGGTGAATAAATGACAACAAAATATTCACTTTGGAGTAAACTGTGCTTTTAATGGAAGAAAACATTCACAACTCAGTCAAACTCAGATGCTTACTGAAAGATGTGTGGCAAAACGGTTAGAGTTTGGAGAGCAAAAAGCTCACAGATGGCCACATTAGGGATGGATTTACGATAATGCTCGCTTAATAATACGATAACTTACCCTTTTTTCTGTATACTCTTAAGCAAAGCTTACAAAAGGATGTTTTTGCAACAACGCAATAGAAAAGACCCACTTTAGTTCCAAAGAATATTTTAATCAGCAGTTCTTAAAAGAATATTTGTTTTCTTAGTGTGAAGAATATTTTAATAATCTGATGAACCTTATTCCATTATAAAGAACCTTTTTTTTTTTTTTGCACCGGAAAGATTCTTCATGGAACCATCAATGCCTATAAAGAACCTTTATTATTATGATTGTGGGGTGTTTTCAATCTCCTCTTCCCTTTCCTTTGATTGTTGTCGGGTGGTTGGAACAGTATGAGGCTATAACAAATATGTTCAGGCTACTATTAAATTATCAAAAGTTTTTTCCAACCTGACCTAAAGGGCAATTGGACTTGCATTGAGCTTCTACAACATAAGTGTAAATTCTAGTAATAAAAATAAAATATAGGGATGATAACGATGAAGAAAAAATGTAGGGATGGCCTTTTAGTTAGATTAGATTAGACTGAAATTGATCAGCACGGTTAGACAAAGTAAAATAACTGCATTAGCATCAGCAAACACAGAGGAACATATATTTATAATAAATGATTTGCAATAAAGCATGCACAATGAACATGTAATGCACGCACTTCAGTCTGTGGTGTAGCCTATAACATGTGAAGAGTTCAGATGTTCAGATTTTCTTCTAAAATGAGCATTTTGACTGAACATAAACAAAGGAGCCAGAGAAAAATGACAATTTTAGAAGAATATTTTAGATACACTTAGAGGCTTTTGCATCCGAGCTCCTCATGTATTCTGCTCTTCTAAAACTAATTTATGTCAGTTGTTTACTGGTATTCATTTGCATTTAAACGAACCCAACTACTGTCTCAGATTTAAATGCATACAGACTTTCTATAGGCTGTTAGCTGTAGTCTACACGCCGTTACACACTCAACTCCATTTCTTTCTTTTACAAAATAATACACTGAACAACAGCACTTTCCCTTCAGAAATAAAAAGTCATGACTATCCTACCTTCACAGCATTTCTCCTTTAGTTTTCCTCTCCTGGCTCTCCGCGTGAGGACGTGCGCATCTTCAGATGTGTCTCCAGTAGTTTCTGCTGTAGCTGGTGAGTGAAGCGCTGCTGTTCTCGTCTCTCTGCGCCTCCTGCCCTCTAGCGGCACTACTGTGTGTGCGTCTGAGCACAAATCATCCTCCGCCAGGTCAACACAATTTAATAAACATATGCTAATAAATCCCCCAGCACTCAGAGCTCACGTGGGGCAAGTTGCATTAAAAAGCCACTGTGTTAAGAGACTGTGTCTTAAGAGCTAGCAGTTAGCAGTTAGCCAAGAGGTAGTCCGTCTTACTTTTCCGATTCAAACTGGGTCATTCTACCTTTTTGTATCTGACTAAAACGTTATGACCAGTCATGAAGAAAACAAAATAGATGACTAAATGTTTAAAGACTAGTCTAAGCATCCGGGACATGGTTATAAAATGGATAGCTTTGACCAGAGCTGATGAAAACAACAACCGGACGAACCACGGAATAGAACAATGGTCAAAGAACCCGCCAAATCACTACGTTGCTAGGCAACCGTAAACGGTTGTTTCTTCTTTTTTTAAATCGCTGTAACTAGTGTTGGGGAAAGTTACTTTTAAAAGTAATGCATTACAATATTGCGTTACTCCATAAAAAAAAGTAACGAATTACGTTACTTTTTATGGCAAGTAATGCGTTACGTTACTTTTGCGTTACTTTTTAAACCTGGACAGGGCTTGCTTGTTTGTTTTTAAAATAAAAAAGTTCTATTTTTGGCAAATATAAAAACCTTTTCACACCAGAAGTGAAATGAATCAGCCTCAGGCTGAAGGGAAAGTAAATGTACGTCCGTACAGTAGAATGCAGAAGAAGAAATTTCAACACACTTCAGCAATAAACAAAGACACACAAATGTTCGTCTAGAGTAATTTGTGCTTATTAGTACGGTTGAACAAACCAGTGTGTTCATAATTAAGATAATACGTTAAAATAATATGAGAAGACACACCAACTTTCAATATCAAGCAGCAAAACGAACTGTTTTGTTCAGCTAAAAATACCGGAAGCCAGACCCATAGAATTTACAAATGGCCCATTTTTACGACAAGAAAACGGTTTTTATTATAAAAACTATTTTATCACAGGAAAGGGGTTGTTTTGAGGTGAGGCAAAGTAACAAAAAGTTCCTTACAATCCCAAATTCATGTTCTCACGTGGCTGTTCGTATTAATAATCCAGAGTTAAACATGAAAAGGGCGGGAAAAACTGTCTTTTCCCCTCATACTGCAACGTTGGGTTTGGAAGCTTATAACTTTGGCTATTTCTGTTCTCTTGTTCGGTTCACTGAAAAGTGAACATGATATTCATGAGGTTCATTCATTCAGTTTTGGTGTTGTTCATATTTCTGTACTCATGTGATTCTTTGATATCGTTCTGTTTCAGGTAGGCCTACCAGCAAAACCTTGAGAGAAACAATCTAGTTCAACCTCAGATATAAATAGCCTAACTGACAAGATGATAAAGGGTCAGCAATTGACCCCGAGACCGAGACTGCATAGGCATTTTTTCAGGTAATTTTATTGGGCAAATAAATCTCAAAATCCATCAAAAACATGTCCTGGTCCATATTTCACCCAATAATATAAAGGATAACAGAAGAATATTTCATTACATTTTATACGTTGTTTTGTTTAAAGATACTGAAGACTACTTTAGGACCATTACCTTCTTTTTCAGATTATCGTGTGTCACATTATTTTCATAACATAAAACAAATGTTCCCATTAAAATCTCATTACTGCTGTGGCTCATATTTCTGTACTCATGTGATTCTTTGATATCGTTCTGTTTCAGGTAGGCCTACCAGCAAAACCTTGAGAGAAACAATCTAGTTCAACCTCAGATATAAATAGCCTAACTGACAAGATGATAAAGGGTCAGCAATTGACCCCGAGACTGCATAGGCATTTTTTCAGGTAATTTTATTGGGCAAATAAATCTCAAAATCCATCAAAAACATGTCCTGGTCCATATTTCACCCAATAATATAAAGGATAACAGAAGAATATTTCATTACATTTTATACGTTGTTTTGTTTAAAGATACTGAAGACTACTTTAGGACCATTACCTTCTTTTTCAGATTATCGTGTGTCACATTATTTTCATAACATAAAACAAATGTTCCCATTAAAATCTCATTACTGCTGTGGAAAAAGATATTTCTCATTACAGAATAGAAATAGTTAGAGATTTAGAAAAGTAATCAAAAAGTAATGAAATGTAATCAGTTACATCACTTTAATAAAATAATAGCATTTTAAATAATAGCTTGTCATCTGTAACCTATAACATTTACAAAGTAACCTTCCCAACACTGCAGCCCTGTTTGCAAGGATGTACTGGTTGTTAGGCTGTTGCCAGGGTGTTCCAAGTGGTTGCTAGGCAGTTTCAGGGGTATTTTGGGTGGTTGCTACAGTGTGGATTCAGTTATTGGGTCATTCCCTGAAATTGGTGCCTTTTGCTTCCCTAAGAAGTAAACAACGAATAAATTTGCAACTTAAAAACATAACGATACTATGTATTCTTTCATAAATATTACATAAAAAATAAATAATTTAAATAGCATTTATGCTGATAAGGGTAAGGTTTTTGGCCTGTCTCTCACTATGATTTTTCTTTTTCAGCAGGACTTTAATTTGCAAAATAAAGGCAAAATTATATAAAAATTGCATTTGCATATTGTTTTAAATATAGTCTCATTGTTAAGCAATGTTGTGGCACAAGTATGCATTTTTTCTATAAAATTTTTATTTTTTTATTGGTGTCCCCTGATTTCATGTCAGCCCTGTTACCCTCATCAAAAAACCCTTGTAAAATAATTTACGTTCAACATTATTTGTTGACCACTTCTAAGAGGTCACATCATCTCTCAACCAGGATTCCTACACTTAAAACACAAGCATGTTTCTCTCTCACTTCTATAATGTTCTGTTTTTGATGATTTATGAGGCTTGACTGAGGGGTGGGGGTCAATACTGTTACCATTTTTAAAATGTAAATTTAAACAATTATTAAATTTAATATAATCAATATCTACAAGTAAAATCCTTTCAAAGTGTACAACGTGCTTTTGTGAAATTCACTATTAGCTAGAACTTAGTAAATTAGTTTTAAATTGTAAACCCTGTTACTGTCATCCCTGTTACTTTTCAGGGTAACAGGTTTTGACGTGGTTAACAGGGATGACATATATTAGGGTGTAATTTTGAGCTAATGCCTATATCATTCAGTGGCATATGAGCATGAGTTACATTTACATTTAGTCATTTAGCAGACGCTTTTATCTAAAGTGACTTACAAATGACAATAAAAGCAGTCAAAACTAAAAAAAGAGCAGCAATATATAAGTGCAAATGACAAGTCCCGGTTAACCTAACGCAGTACACATAGTTACATTTTAGTTTGTTTTATTGATATTGTTTCTATTACTGTTATAATTAATGACCAGGATAGGATGATCAGTCTCAATAAAACTCATTGTCAATAATGCATCTATGTAAATTCAATTACAAACAAGAGCAGCAAGGTGACTGCAGACCTTCACCGCAGTCTTGCAATGTTCAAGAAAGTCAAGATCTTGGTTGGGTTTCAGATGATCACAGAAAGACCAAGATCTGATCATCTTCCTTGCCTAATAATTGAACCAGATCAGTATATTTGAAGTTCTGTGAGGGGACACAGACAAACAGATGGGCACATGATCTAATTACAATACCCTTAAAACATTAGATCTCTTAGAAATGTAATGTGCTAAATCAACAATGAACTGACTTCAAATGAAACATTGACTGTTGCTAAGTAAGTGCAAAACAATATAATGCCATTTAAAATCATAAAACTGTACAGTATTATGTAAACAAAT